AAAAAAAAAAAAAAAAAAAAAGAAAAATTAGAAACAATACAGAGTTTCACTAAACAAGATGGTAGGAATTCACCAGTGGTTGTTATATTGCATATTATTAGGAGCTTTTACCTTGTAGTAGAGCAGTATTAACATCTAGGTGGTTCATCTGGAGAACATAGAGGCTGACTGTGGGGCTTACGGTGCAGATGCTGGTCAGACTGATTGCTGGAGAAGGTGTTTCTCTGTAATGCACTGAGATGCCAACCTCAGGAGAGAAATGTAAAGACTGAATTGAATTTTAACCTAATGTGAAATCTTGGCAGAGAACATGTTAATAAATGCTTTAAGAGTTAAAAAACAAACAAACAAACAAAAAAAAACACCTCAATAAGCACCAAGCAGAAAGACAATTGGAAAATCATACCAATTGTTTTATACATAGAACTGCCGAAATTTTGTGTGGTAGTGCATACTTGTAATCCTAGCAGTCTGGAAGGCTGAGGCAGGAGGACAGCAAGTTCATGCCTAGCCTGGGCAGCTTAGTGGTTTTATGAGACCCTGTCTCAAAACAAACAAAAATAATAATAGAGGGCTGGGAGTGTAGTTCAGTGTGAAAGCCTAGGGTTCATCCTCAGTACCCTGAGAGTGGGAGAGAGGGGGCAAGGACAGGGAGGGGAGGGAGAGGGAAGAAAAGGGAAAGGGACGGGAAAAGAAACAGTTGCTGAGATCCCCTTTATTTGGAAAGATCTATTATCCCAACTCCGAGTGCTATGTCAGTAAACAGCCTTTATCTCTGAGCTCTTTAGGGATGGCTTCTCCACAGGGAGCTTCATCACCAAAGCTCACACCCTTCAGCAGGGCCACATGCAATGATTCATCTACTTGGTCAGAGCTCCTCTGGGGCCAACTGGGGCTGCTGGGCCTTAAGTTACAGCCTGACGATTCCTTCTGTCCAGGTCCTATGGAACCTGCCATCCTTGCACAGGGTTGAGCCATACACACTCCCAAATAAGCTACCTGAGCCCTAAACTGTCTCACAATCTGCTGCACAAAGAACCACATTTGGAATGTCAAAGAACATCATAAGCAAATGGCTATAATTCAAAGACAAATTCCGAAGAGCAAAGATAAAGACACATTATGATTTTTACGTCTAGTGACTTTTCATCCAAAATACTGGAAGCCAGAAGACAACGGAACAACTTCTCTAACACTGTTTAAAATAAAAAGATAACATCAAACTAGAAACCTACATCCAGTAAAGATAATAAAGGCAAAGGAAAGACCTGTTCAGAAAATTAGAAGAGATCATTTTCCACCAGCAGACCTGTAGACCTATACTACAGAAAATCACAAAGAGCCATATATGGTGGCACACTCTCACATACCAGCACTATGGAGGCTAAGGTGGGAGGATCAAGAGTCTGAGGCTAGCTTGGGGAACATAGGAAGGCCTGCTCTCAAAACAAAACAAAAACTAAAACAGAAGTTCTTTTGCTGGAAAGAAAATTATTTCAGGCAGAAAAGCACGAAGACTGGTAGAAATGACAAATATCAAGGAACATAGAAAATTTGTTTTCTTCTTGTTTTTATTTCTTTAGATGACAATGAAAAAATAAAGCAAAAGGAATAACAATGTATTCTAGCATTCAAAACATATGCAAAATATGTAACAACCATAGCAGGAAGGATAAGAGGGAAGAAAGAGACATACATGGTAAAATTTTTACAGTCTGTGATAGCCAGCTTCCAAAATGCTCCCCAATTATCATCTTCTACTATTTATGCAGTTGTGTAGCAACTTCTGTCACCAAATCGGGTGACTATGTGACCAACAAAATTCTACAGAAATGATTTTGAGCTACTTTTGAAATTATAGATGGCATTGTAGCTTCTGACTTGTTATGCAGCAATATGTGCTCTAGGGGATGGCTTTCCTCTATCATGAAGACATTCAGTTTCCTCTGAGGATGAAGCCCATCTCCTTAGCCATGAGAGTGAAGTACCCCAGAAATCTTTCCCCCACCCTCGATGACCCCAGATAATATGCAACTTCATGACAAGCCCCATGGAGAAATCCTCAATTAACCCACTTGCAATTTTCTAACCCACAAAAACTGAGATTATTAAAGTTTTTTGTTGTTTAGGGCCTCTAAATTTTGACATAACTTGTTACACAGCAGTAGGTAACTAATACAAGTTTTAAACTCTACAATTTAGTATAGGGACATAATTTTTTTTTTTTTTTTGAGGTCAGGTGGAGATCCTCTCTCCTGATGGGAGGAGAAGACCTGCTCAAGAACTGTAGATTGTTTATTTATACCCTCCAGAGGTTGATGTCAATTTCAACCTCTCTACCCAGCAATCAGCTAAAAGGTTGCAACAGCTTGTTTACATGGCTCCAGGAGCTCCCCTGTTCTCAGGAGGCTTTGTTTTAGCCCTTCCTGTGTGATAGATTTCCAGCTTCAGCTGCTCCCAGCATCTCTTTCTCTTTTTCTTTTTTTTTTTTTTTTGAGACAGGGTCTCACTATGCAGTTCAGGCTGGCCTTGGGCTCACTTTGTAGCACAGGCTGGTCTTGAACTTGCAAAGATTCTCCTGCCTCAGCCTCCCAAGTGCTCAGATTACAGGCATGTAACATCATGCCCGGCTCTCTTTTCTGTTTTGTAAGTGATGCGTGTTCAGTTGAAGTTGGAGAAGCTGTGTTTGAAGAACTTGGTAGAAGACCTTTTCATTGTTGATGAACTTATTCATTTAGGCTAAAGATTTTCATTCCAAAGACTCTAGGTAGCTGTATACAGCAAGTTATCCCTATATAGTATAGGGACATAATTTAAAAGTAATGTGGCAGCTAGCTAATAATCGCTGTAAGGCTATTGTCTTTGGGCCTGGCATAGAACTTGAAACCTCAGAAAGGCAGTTGAGAAAAATATGGAGAGAGCGAGAGTGAGAACTAATGGTAGCTGGGTGCACTAAACATTGCTGCAATCTTCTCTACACCTCCAAATTTAAAGAAAGTATTCTGAAAGGAAGTCAGGTACCTTTATGAGAGAGTTTAAGACATAGCTGACTAAGAGTGAGAGAAGCTGAAGGGGACTGGGGGCAGAGGAAGTAGAGCAGCTGCAAGGCTGGCTGTCACCCTAGACCAGCAAGTGAGCCAGCAGGTGACAGCATGCAAGAGCTACAACCACACTGGTGTCCTTGCTCTGCTTTCTGCAGACAGAAGCAATACAGCTGCTGCTCACCTCTTGCCTCCCACATCTCACTCAAAGGGTCTTTTAGGGTACACTACCACCAGACACAAAACAAGGAGAATTTTGGAAAGCAGTTCAGCCTAACAAAGCCCATGAATTACAGAACCATTACACACAGCACAAGGAGGAATATATTAAAGGTTAGACCCTGAAGAGATTCATATGGCAAGCCTTAGAACCAACTTTATGAAAACAAAGCAAAGAAGAAAGCAAGAAAACAAACAAGCCAGAAGAGAATAAGTGGAAGACTAAGGACAAAACAAACTAAAATGAAACAAAATATCTCAGTTCATAGGAAGATAGGAAAAGAAGGAAAAAAGAAAGGAAATCACCAAGTTAGGTTGAACTCCTCTGTTACCGACAATATTATCACTTGCACTTTTACTTAAAATTATAGTAAATGTGTTTTATGCAGTTACAGTTAAATATATATTTGTATAATTAATTGCTTACTGTTTTTTCCCCAATGGACAGTAAGCTGTCTAGAGATGTAGTCTCATTCTACCTCCGTTCTGTGGATGAGAATGCTGTCTGTCTGTCCGCAATATTTGTGTTCCACTTCTCTGGTAACAGTTGGTTTACCAGTCTCTCTTGGTTGTACAGAAATTCTGCCCAGTGAGGTCTGAGGAGAAACATGCACAGTTGTGGGTTGTGCTCTGAAAGGAAACAGGTTTGAGCTTCACTTCTTCATCTCGTCTTCCTGCTGGCTAGTAAACCAGCAAGAATCTTACTAAGATCCACACTTTAAGATTAGAGAACACCAAGGCAGAAACAAATAGCACTTTCACCAAGGGGCGACCTCAAACTTGTCTTAGAATGACATTCTTGAACTATGTATTTGTTTGTTTTGTGGTGCTAGGGATGGAACTCAGGGTTTCATACACACTACATCTCCATCCCTTCTTGGATTATTACATGAATTTTTAAAGAAATACCACAGATGGCAAGCGCAAGGTCGTGAGTTCGGTTCCTGGTACCGGAGAAAAACCAAAAAAAAAAAAAAAAAAAAGAAATACCGCAGATTAGACTGCTGAAGGCAAGCCTCTCTCCTGAAAAATACTACCCCTCTCCCCAAAGAAAAAATTCTAGAGTTGCTTTTCGTTTCACTTAGGATTCCTTATATGCTTTTTCCTTTCACTCATGGGCTCCATAAATATTTATTATATTCAATGATCTATTTATATAACCTTTCAATTTTTTATTATACAGTTATCTGGATGCCCTCTATAAGACTCGCTGCTTTCATGTTATCACTCTTAAATTATAATGCAGAAAGAACATGGCTGTAAAATAACTTCTTACGAATTATATTTGGAGTCTAAATGTGTCCTCACCTCAAGGAGAGATAGAATGTCCATGCTGAAATAAGCAAAACTGAAATCAGTATGGAAAGGTCTTACTGTATTTTGAGCTTCAAGAAGGGTTGGAAAAGACAACTTCACACACAGATATGGAAGTAAATTGTAGAAATGTAAGTGTGTATGGACAGTGGCAGTGCTTTCTTAACTTACCTATTTCCACGAGGAATCCCTCAAATCTATCTCCAGAAAGATCTTTCTAAAGTGGTGCTGGGAATTGAACTGAGGGCCCTGTGCATGCTAAGCATGCACTCTACATTTGGCTACAATACACCTTCAGCCCTAAAATGAAACTCTGATTATGTGTCTTCCTCTGCTTTAAGTCTTTCATTGTATTTTCACTGCTCCTGGGATAAACACCAAAATCTGCACTGTGGCTCGTGAGCCCTTTGGGGTCTTCTCAGGCTCTCTCTTACCTCCCTCTCCTTTCCCCAAGTGTCTGACACAATCTGCCTTCCAAAGCACTATGTCTTTCCCTGTTAATAGGCTTTACAAAGGTTCTTTTGTTTGGAATAGTCTTTCCTCTTCATGCCTCCCTCAACATACCTAACTTCTACTGAAATGTCACATTTTTAAGGAAGCAAGTCTTGCATTCTCCAACATACAAGTTCATACTATTACATTTTTTCATAAAACTTACAGTTATAATTATAGTTATGTACTGTAAGCACATATGACCCAAGTATGTCTTCTTCATTGGTCACAAGTCTCATGACAGCAAAGACCATGTATTTCTCATGTTTTATAGGAGGACTTAAGTATTCTTAAAATAACATGAACGACTGAAATCAGGGGCTGTGGTGTCAATCTGTAGTTTCAGCTACTCAGCTGAAGCATTAGGATTGTCAATTCAAGGCTAGCCTGGGCTACAGAGGAAGTTCAAGGCTGGCCTGGACTGCATAGTAAGACTGTCTCAAAAAACAAAAAATAAACATTAAAATGCATAATAATTTTTAAATGAATGAGGAATGATTTATAAGGTAAGGATAAGCAACAGCCCTGCCTATCTCTTCTATCAGCTTGTTCTTAGGGTCTGGAATTCTCTTCACTGATTTCATCTAATGAAACACAGATTGAGAAATTTATTAAGGGTTTTTGGAATTTGATTGCCAAGCCTAAATACCTGTTTATCAGGATCCCTTTCCATTTGTAACTACTGATTAGAAACAATACGAAAGATCAATGCTTCTGGGGAAATTTTAGTCAAAGTCCTTACATATGTGATGTTTTGAAAGCAAATTCAAGTGTGGAAAAGACGAGGGAGAGGTGCCATGTGTGGTGGTTACAGACTGACTCTCAAAACCAACCCTCTGGTTTTGAATCCTCCCCTGTTGCTTAGAAGCTATTACTCATAGGTGGTTTCCTGTCTCCGTTGTGCCTCAGTTTTCTCAACTGTAACACAGAGCTAAGAAGCATGAGACTGTTAGGCTTATGCAGATTCAGTTAGTATTGGTGAGTTGCTTGGAAGATTGCCTGAGAGCCCAAGGGCTGCACAAGTGGTTGTTAAGTAGATAAAACATGTTTCATGGGGGATATATATTACTAGTCACAGTGGTCAAATATTATATGAATGTAACATCATTTCCTTATTTTTTTGGGGGGGGTACTGGGAATTGAACTCATGACCTCAGACTTGCCAGGCAAGCGCTTATGCTGCTGAGCTATATCCCCAGTCCTGAATATAACTTCAGAAGATATTGGTCAGGCCTACCCCCTTCTCACTATCTTCAGCACATTGTTTTGGTTTAAGGAATCGTGTCCTTAAGAGTTTCTTGTTATACATGGATGTCTTCTAGGAGCTATAAACAGGGAACTATTTTACCACAGTCTTAGCAAGGTCCAAGTGCAAGGCCTTGGACGATTCATTTTAATAAACAGGAGTGAGACAGAAATAGCCAATTTTTGGTCTAGCAAATATTTACTGAGAGTGGCAGAGATTAGCTGGCTGTTTCCCTTCACCTATGTTCTTGGCATCCTTGGCACGCTGCTGCCCTGCACTGCTCAGGCCCCTGGCATTGAGAAAGGGGATGTGAGGAGCTCTCTCCAGTGCACTGTGAGCACAGCGAGGGAAGGTCTTTTTAAGCCAAGCAGTTAACAGGTGTGCTTTTTATATGCTTCTCTTCTTCATCCCTTATCTGAGCCTGAGCTGGAAGACTCTGAAGCCCTGAGTACTGCAAAGCATGTGACAGAGGTCTCTAAATGACTGTACAGAGGAGTTTCCACCTCCCCTAATTCCGATCTGAGGTTTCTCTCTGTTATGTGGGATTAAATAAGAGCATAAAAACTATTTTAATGGAGTTTCATTATTGAGAAACTTGATAAATGATTTTATACTTAAAACTAGCTTTGCTGTTGAAGCTACAGATTTATATTAGACTTATGTGGACAAGATATGAACTTTTACTGTGTTCCACCCACTGAGATTTGGAGGCCATTTTTGATAACAGCCTATTCTGACAACATGCTGAGCACCTACTACCCAAGGACTGGGTCAGGCACTCCGAATAATTTATATAACTCAGCTGCAACTGAGGTTTCCTCATCCATTTCAGTCCAGATACACTGTTCGAGTCAAAAACTCCTAAGATTACTGAGGAGTATTTTTGAGCTCACCTTCAGCATTGACCTCTCAGTTCTACAGAATTAGAATCATGTTAATATTCATGCCATTTATTGGCATGCTCTCTGTTCCTAGTAGCTTCAGCCAAACATGAAATGCAACCTCTACTCAATTTCTACCTCTTTTTCCCCTCTAAATGCCACTCACACAAACCAGTTTTTATATGGTTGACTTTACTGAATGTGGGAGTGCAGTAAGATGATGAAACATTTACCTTGTACAATCCAAGATGCCTGAAAAGGAATACCAGATCTTTTTTTTTTTTTTTTTTTTTTAACCTTAGGAATGTTCAACTCTAACACTCAGTGAAACTACCAGAGATAATCTTCAGTCTCACTGGAATCCTTTTTGTTCCTCTCAGCACTCTGCCTCAGACTGGCCCTGATTTAAGAACATGGAGTTCTTCTACCTGTTCACTAAATTCACTTATAAACCCAAGCTCACTTTAAGGCCCACCTTTGCTATGCCAAACCCATGCAGCCCACCTCCAGTATGGGAGGCTATGTTCAGGGTCCTCTTTGCAAAGATACAACAATTATATAATTGCTACCACAGAAGAGTTATGGCCTAGTGGAAAAGACAAATACAAAAATGACTATAATCATAATAGATGGTTACACATCACTAACCCAACCACTGCTCTCCCATCCCACAGGATTCTCAGAGGGGCAAAGCTGATATGATTCCTCTGCACTCCATTCACCCAAGAAAATCTCTGAGTTTTGCAGGAATTGAAAAGGATTTCCTCTCACAAAAAAGGGAAAGGACTTTGGTCTGTAGTACAGTTGTTTTTTTGTTTTTGTTTTGTTTTGTTTTGTTTTTTGTTTTTTGGTCTTTTTGAGCCAGGGTCTCGCTATGCAGTCTTGGCTGGCCTTGAGCTCACTATATAGCCCAGGCTGGCCTCAAACTCACAACAATCCTCCTGCCTCAGCCTCCCAAGTGCTGGGATTACAGGCGTGAGCCACCATGCCTGGCCTGCAGTACAGTTTTTAAACTTCACAATAGTCTTCTTTTTCCCCATAAAGAGAAAAATCCTAATTCTCCACTCCAAACATTCAAATAGTAAACTGAGGCCATAAAGACACTTCTAAATCAAGGCTTCTTTTTGTTCTGAGAGCTTCAGTTGGAGCTTGGACTATACTTTCTTTGCTGAGCAGCAGTATGAATGGTTTTATACTTAATACTAGCTTTGTTATTGAAGCTATAGATAAATGGGTCTTAGTAGAAGTAACTCTGGTGTTTCCATTCTGGAATATTGCATTTTAAATAATGTACAATGTATAAGCCAATTCAGCAGCTTAAAGGTCTTCTAAAATGGCTTGATTCCATCATGTTGCTAATTCTGAGCCAAACCATTTATTGTGTCAGGTGGTACAAATTAGAGTCAGAATGCAGAGAATAACATTGTACAGTTATAATCATCCACTACCAAGCTGATATTTGACAGAAAGTGTTAATTCATTTTCATTGTTGGGTATCCACTAAAAGTGCAGATATTATGGTAGTGTGACCTCTAAATCAAAGGCTCAGATTTTTATTACAATCTCACGGCTAAACATTTCATAATAACTTGATATGAAACTTTTAATTTAAGCTATGTTTTTAGGCCAGGAGTAGTGGTGCATGCCTGTAATCCCAGTATGC